TAGTTTCGGTAAACAGTAAAAGAAAAAATTGGCATGAAGATTTCTACTTTTTTTTGTTTTACAGTTTATAGTTTCTATAGGACTAATCAGAATTATACTGATCAATTGATAATATGTCTAAATCATTATTTACTTACTTACGCCTGTTACTCACAATGAAGTGTAGGCCGCCGACCAGCATTCTTCAACCCACTCTGTCTTGGGCCTTCCATTCTTGCTCCATCTAGTTGTCGTTCATTCTTCTCATGTCTGTCTCTATTTCTCGGTGTAATGTGTTCTTTGATATTCTTCTTCTCCTTTGGCCTTCAGAATTCCATGTGAGGGCTTGTCTTGTGATGCAGTAAGCTGACTTTATCAATGTGTGTCTTATCCACTTCCAGGAATTCTTCCTGATTTCTTCCTCCACTGAACGGAATCTGGTTTGTCCTCTATCACTGTAGAATGTTGCTGATAGTGTTTGGCCAACGGATCCGAAGTATTTTGTGTGGACAACTGTTAATAAACACTTGTATCTTCTGGATGATAGCTTTCGTAATTCTCCAGGTTTCCGTCCCATACAGTAGAACTGTTTTGACATTTGTATTGAAAATTCTGATTTTGGTGTTGATTGACAGACAGTTGTTTTGAGTTCCAGATATTCTTCAGTTGTAATATGCTGCTCTTGCCTTGCTCTTGTTCTTTGCTTTGTCTAAATCATTATCTTTATGTTTAACTTTCGATAACAAAACTTATAAGAATTTGTGAAAATACGGATACTTAATTATGTTATATACCATAAATTATATGGAAAACCTTTTGTGGCTCTGAATCCGACTCCGATTTGATCGTGTGATTGCCGTTATGAAATGATTACTGTCAAAATATATATGTGGCCGATTCTCGTGTATATTCATCGGTTTGAATCACGTTAGTGAATAACCGAGTTCAATAAGCCAAATATGAGAACTGATTTTTGAATACTCATATTTTGTATATTCATTGATCTAGACAGACTATCAGAGGGATGAAGCGAAGAAAGTGAAAAGAACAGATCGAAGCTAAATAACACACAGTGGGGATCATGTGTGAGCCAACTCAATTTAATCAAGCGTTAATCGATATTTATAGTCGGGTAGAAATAAGCTGAACATGTGATGAGTAAGATAAGAAGTGCACATACATATGCTCATACAGAGACAGTCAAGGTTGATAATTGAATAATTAACAAGATCAAAATGTGACTCAAGAGGAATGAATCAATTGACCTGTCCAAAAGCTAGAATAAGCTGTTTCAGCTTAACATAACAATCGACACTACAAAACAACCAAAAAAGCTGGAGGGCATTGAATAAGCTATTTTATCTTTGTTTCATACTCCTCAACTCCGCCTGTAGCTCTTCTACAGTTACTGCCGGTCCCAAGCCCGGGTAAAGGAGGAGGGTTGGGCATGGGGTTAGCGACCCCATCCCGTAGAAAAGCTAACTCGCTAAAAAAACGCTAACCAGAAAAAATAATTCAAACCATTTAAACTCTGTCCTGGGAGTCAAAGGAATAATTATGACGTCTCATGATGAAATCCGAAATTCTTCGGAAGTCACGAGACCGATGCACCTTCTAACAACCAGAGCAACACTCTTTATAGGTACATGGAACGTCCGGACAATGCGGGAGACAGGAAAAACCAGCCAAATAGCAATGGAAATGAGAAGATACAACTTGGCAGTACTCGGAATCAGCGAAACCCATTGGACACAAACTGGACAACAAAGGCTAGGTACAGGAGAGATGCTGCTGTACTCCGGTCACGAAGGGGAAAATGCTCCACACACTCAGGGAGTTGCTCTAATGCTGTCCAAAGAAGAACGAAATGCACTTGTGGGATGGGAATCTCATGGACCCAGGATAATCAAAGCATAATTCAGAACAAAGAAGCAAGGGATCACAATGAACGTTATCCAATGTTATGCACCCACCAATGATAGCAACGACGATGATAAAGATCAGTTCTATGAAAGGCTGCAATCAATTATAAAGAAGTGCTCACGAAAGGAGAGAGAAATAAAAATGGCGAGAGACTTGCAAACCTATGTGCATTCAACAAATTGGTTATAGGCGGCACAATATTCCCACACAAGCGCATACACAAATCTACATGGATCTTATCGGACCACACCACAGAGAACCAGATAGATCACATCTGTATCAACAAAAAATTCCGAAGATCAATGGAAGATGTGAGAAACCGGAGAGGAGCTGACATAGCTTCAGATCACCACCTGGTTGTGGCCAAGATGAGACTGAAGCTAAAGAAACACTGGACAACTGAGTGAACAGAATTACAAAGGTTCAATACAGCCTTCCTTCGAGATACTTACAAGCTCAATGAATTCAAGATAACTCTCAACAACAGGTTCCAGGCTCTACAGGATCTACTGAAAGAACAAGAAACTACTTTGGAGGACAACTGGAAAGGGATAAAAGAAGCACTAACTTCAACGCGTCAGGAGGTTCTTGGTCCTAAGAAGCACCATCACAAGGAATGGATCTCTATGGGGACCCTGGACAAACTTCAAGAAAGGAAGAACAAGAAACTAGCAATTAACAACAGCCGAACACGAGCAGAGAAAATCAAAGCACAAGCAGACTACGCAGAAGCAAACAAGCAAGTGAAGAAAAGCATTAAAGCCGATAAGCAGAAATACATGGGAGAACTAGCAACGACGGCGGAAAAAGCTGCAAGAGAAGGGAATATGAAACAACTATATGATATAACGAAGAAATTGGCAGGGAGATATAGCAAACCAGAGAGACCAGTCAAAGACAAAGAAGGAAAGACAATCACGGATATTGAAGAACAGAAGAAAAGATGGGCAAAATACTTCGAGGAACTGCTGAATAGACCAGTCCCATTGAATCCAGCAAACATCGAAGCAGCCCACACTAACCTTCCAATAGATGTCACTCCACCAACGATCGATGAAGTCAAGATGGCCATCAGACAAATCAAAAGTGGGAAGGCGGCAGGACCTGACAATATACCAGCAGAAGCACTGAAGTCAGACATTGAAATAACTGCAAATATGCTTCACCTTCTATTCAAGAAGATTTGGGAAGAGGAACAAGTGCCACTGACGGACTGGAAAGAAGGATATCTCATCAAGATACCAAAGAAAGGAGATCTGAGCAAATGAGAGAACTACAGAGGCATCAGTTTGTTATCAGTACCAGGAAAAGTTTTCAACAGAGTGCTGCTGAATCGGATGAAAGACGCAGTAGACATCGAACTTAGGGATCAACAGGCTGGATTGCGTAAGGATAGGTCATGCACAGACCAGATTGCGACATTACGGATCATCGTTGAACAATCAGTTGAGTGGAACTCATCACTATACATCAACTTCATTGACTATGAGAAGGCGTTTGACAGCGTGAACAGGAGAACATTATGGAAACTTCTTCGACACTATGGAGTTCCTGAAAAGATTGTCAACATTATCCAAAACTCATACGATGGACTACAGTGCAAAGTGGTGCATGGAGGACAGCTGACAGATGCATTTCCAGTAAAGACCGGAGTCAGACAAGGCTGTCTACTCTCCCCATTCCTCTTCCTTCTAGTGATTGACTGGATTATGAAGAATTTGACATCTGACGGGAAATACGGAATACAATGGATATCTCAGAATCAATTAGATGATTTGGACTTCGCAGATGACCTGGCCCTCCTCTCTCATACACATAAACAAGAAGGATCGGATGCAGATGTAAAGGCGAGGATTGGCAAAGCAAGGACAGCATTTCTACAATTGAAGAACATATGGAACTCAAAACAACTCTCAACTAATTTCAAGATCAGAATCTTTAATATGAACGTCAAGACAGTCCTACTGTATGGAGCTAAAACGTGGAGAACTACTACGGCCATCATCAGGAAGGTACAAGTATTTATAAACAGTTGTCTACGCAAAATACTCAACATCCATTGGCCGGATACTATCAGCAACAGCGTTTTATGGGAGAGGACAAACCAGCTTCCAGCTGAAGAGGAAATTAGGAAAAGACGTTGGAAATGGATAGGACATACATTAAGGAAATAACCAATGTGCATCACGACTCAATCCCTAACTTGGAATCCTGAAGGGAAGCGGAAAAGAGGAAGGCCAAAGAACACACTACGCCGGGAAATAGAAGCCGATATGAAAAGGCTGAATAGCAACTGGAAAGAACTGGAAAGGAAGGCTCAGGACAGGGTTGGATGGAGAATGCTGGTGAGCGGCCTATGCTCCTCGACGAGGGGTAACAGGCGTAAGTAAGTAAAAAGTCATACTCCTCAGTTGGAAACACTGAAGACAATGTTTGAACGGTCGAGCAATCTCATAAATTGGTTGATGTTAGACAATAATACCGTTAGATGCCAGACGGCTCAGTGGTTTAGATTTTCAGCGTTCGTGCGACACCAAAATTCTTGGGTTCAAGTCTCACGAAATGCCACTGAGGAGTCCTACAATAGGACGAGTTCGTCGTCCAATGCTTCCAGGTTTTTCATGATATTCTAACTTCAATTAACTCATGATTTCAACCATATAAAATTTACTAAACTACTATTTTGTTAGTCATGCCAAAAGAGAACACAAGCATGATTATTATTATTATTATTATGATTGAAATGTATAAACACTAAATAGTAAATAAATACACATTGACTAAGTTAAACTTTAAAATGATTCATACAACATGGTTACAATTGACTAGTTCCTTTTTGCATATTTGCATGTTTATTCGTGTATACACAAAAAAAATATAGTTGACTTTTTATTTCATAGTTTAATTGTTGTTATTTATAAGATATTTTAATATTTTGTCTCAAGCATGTTGTAAAAATAAGCATTAGAATAGAGTAAGAGATATGTATACATAGAGAGAGGGGGAGGGAAGGAGGGGGAGAGAGAGGGGGGTGGGAGAGAGTAAGGATAAGTGAAGGGGGTTAATCACGTTATAACATGAAATGATTAGTACACTTATCATTGACTGTTACGATTATTAGTATTGGTATTATTATTATTATTATTAGTAGTAGTAGTAGTAATAGTAGTAGTAGTAGTAGTAGTAGTAGTAGTAGTAGTAGTAGTAGTAGTAGTAGTAGTAGTAGTAGTAGTAGTAGTAGTAGTAGTAGTAGTGTCATATATTAGACAATCTAATATAATAGAGTTGTTTATAGATTAGATTCTATCAATAATAAAATAAGTAAACATTACATATTTGATTAAATTCATTTAGTATTGTTTGTTTGAATCTTCGCATAGATGTGTTAGGATTGCAACTGGTCAGTCTATAATTGGGATATGTGCATACTGTGCTTGTATTGCCTCGGTTATCAAGGTTCAGTGACCGAGTAGATAACACGATGGCATTTGAAGCGAAAGGTAGTGGGTTTGAGCGAGTCCCAGAATGAACATCCACTCTGAGATGCAGGTACATTCAGCTGACGAGTTCCAAATAGGACGAAGTGGATTGCACTGGATTGCACTACAAGCCACTATCCATCTTTGCTTACAATTACATATTTAATTATTTAGTTTCTATCAGTTTAATAGTTGATATGATTGTTTCTAAGATGGGAAATGATATTATTGGACAATGATTCTTTTCACATTATACACCTCTTCTAAATGAATAATATTTAGAAAAAAAAACATTATTGTTATCGGTACTATTTTGATATCTTCAATGTATAATTCATATTTAATGATGAGTGATAAAGACGAATAGATAGAGTAGTAATGATATTTGGAACTGGATCTTCACTTAACAGATTACTTCATAATTACCTTAGATAGTGATGATAATATACTTACTTACTTACTTATTCCTGTTACCCCTAATGGAGCATAGACCGTTGACCAACATTCTCCAACACACTCTGTCCTCCGCCTTCCTTTCTAGTTCTATCCAGTTCTTGTTCATTCTTCTCATGTCTGTCTCTATTTCTCGGCGTAATATCTTCTTTGGTCTTCCTCTTCTCCTTTGACCTTCAGGATTCCATGTAAGGGCTTGTCTTGTGACGCAGTTGGATGATTTCCTCAAATTGTGCCCAATCCACTTCAAAGTTCTCCAAGTTTCCACCACATACAGTAGAACTGTTTTGACATTTGTATTGAAAATTCTGATCATGGTGTTGATTGACAGTCAGTTGTTTTGAGTTCCAGATATTCTTCAGTTGTAAATATGCTGCTCTTGTTTTTCCGATTCGCAACTTCACATCTGCATCAGATCCACCGTGTTCATCGATGATGCTGCCCAGATATGTGAAGGTTTTTACATCTTCCAAAGCTTCTCCGTAATTCGATTGGTGCATGTTGTATTGTATTGGAGAATCTTGCTTTTCCCTTTGTTTATATTGAGACCTACTGCTGCTAAGGCTGCTGCCACACTGGTCGTTTTCTCCTGCATTTGTTGTTGCGTGTGTGATAGGAGAGCCAGATTATCTGTGAAGTCTAAATTGTCAAGCTGCATCTTGCCTGTCCATTCTATCCCGTGCTATCCTCCAACTGTTAACGTCTTCATAATCCAGTCGATCACCAGGAGAAAGAGAAAGGGTCAGATTTTCAATGGTGATCTAGCTTATATCGACTCATGAATTCAACTATTAAAATCACTGCAATCTCTATAAACCTTCAATTCTTATAAAATCTTGTAACCATATATCTTCAAAATCATGCTAACAATTTTATCCAGATAAAAACGAACAAACAAACAAACAAAACTTTCCAATGATATAAATAATTCCATTTAACAATCATTGTAAATATAAACCATTCATATAATCTATAATCTATCTTTTGTTTATCATTACATTTCTAAATTATTTCTTTCGCCCCTCCCCCCCCCCACAAAAAAAACAACAAAAAAACAAAAAAGAAAAAAATTCACAATAAATTTATTTTTCATATGATAGAGGAGGGGGGGTGAATGGGTTGGTAAGGAAGTTCATTTCAAAAGGGAATAATTTTTATTTTTCATTCTTCATAATCAATGCATATTTTATTTTGATATAACTAATTATTATCAGGACAATGTTTTACTTTTTCAACAAAACGGAACTATTGTCATTATGTTTCCCGTTAAATAAGTAGGGTAATTATAGTTTACTAGTGACATGACATGATAATGGTAATAATAATAATAGTAATGTTTGTTTTGTTTCATACAAACCGTATATATTAATTCACATGGTATTGTTTTCAAAGTTGAAATCATGAGTCAATTGAAGCTAGACCACCAAGGAAAACCTGAAAGTACTGGACAACCGTTTCCTCCTATTGTGGGACTCCTCGACAGTGCACATCTATGATCTCATCTCACGAGATTCGAACCCAGAACCTATCAGTCTCGCGCCTGAGCGCTTAACCTCTAGACCACTGAGTCAGCGGGTATACAACGGTGTTTATGTCTAAGTACAACAAATCTATGAGATTACGCCACTGTCTACCATTGTCTTCAGTGAGTAACTATCTCACAACAGACCTGGTTGAACTTCATTGGTTACTGCTTCTCACTAGAACTCCATGAAATATTCTCTTGAAGTCAGTCACTAGTGACTTATGATTTCAACTATAATATTGATTATTGATCAATAATTTTTTTTTAAATAAATATTCCTCCCCCCCCCCTCAATAGAAAATGATTATTAATTATTATTTTTTATAAATAGTCAAGCGAATGAACAAAAATAAACACACAAAAAATGTGTATATAAATGTAATAAGATAATGAGAGTAAAGTGATATCAGAATGACCTTGTGATTCTGAAGTCACCTTTTAAGCCAATAACCACAGAAACTTTGTATAAAACAAATGTCTTATAACAAAAATAATCAGTGTCGAGCCACCTAAACTAGTGGCCACATTGCAACTTGATGAATAGCATTCGATCAGTACTATGAAGGACTTGACACGCATGGCATTGATCATCACCCAATGATCAATCAATTGTGATAATCAAAACCTGTCAAAGGATTATGATCTTAAAAAACTGTTTTCCTAATTTTTTTTTCTCAGTACTAAACAGTTTCCCATTCTAAATATTATGAAAATGTTTCTATGGTACCTTACTTATATGAATTTATATTCATACAAAAGGTCCCCAAATGCACCGGTACTGCCAAGAGTGGGGAGAGTACGCTCTCCCTCTTCAAATGCTCTCACACGGCCACGCGTATACAACCACTGTCAGTGAAGTCCTACTCATTGCCTCAACACACCACGACTGTTGTTTACGAAATTGAGAGGAAGAAAAGCGGTTGTCCGGCGCTTTATCCGTGTTGATCGACATGGAAAGTCTACCTAGAGGAGATGGAAAACCCTGATTGCAAACCAATGGTTCACGTGGGCTCCAGTATCCTGGGGGAACAAATGGCGTATGAATCAATCGTTGGTCACCGTCTACCATGGAGCTGCATCCCATTACGATGCTCCACTGTCTTGTGGATCAGATCTTTAGGTCAATGACTCGGTGTGTGGCCCCCTAAGAAAACCACCTGCCTCAGTTTGGGCACCCGGGTAGTATCACAGCCCTCACACAACTCAAATGAGATTTTTGTGGCGCATATATATCTGGTGCCTCTTTGTACCAATATTTATGTGTTTAAATAAATAAAATAAACAAATTGTGCTTCAGCGATCAAATCCAGGCACACTTAGATGATTCTATTGATAACCACTATCTAAATTTCATGATTATCAGAGTTAGTTGAATTGTTTTCGTTTTCTTCTTGTTTTAATACAACTCCCATTGTTAACTTGATAAATTTCTATCACAAGCTGGTTAGTGTTTTTTAGCAAGGTTGTTTTCTAGAGGTTAAGGTTGCCGACCCTAACCCTTCTCCTTTACTCAGGTTTGGGATTGGCAGTAACCTTAGATTTATATTGATTCTCTTACGCTGAATCTAGCGATTACAGTTATGTAAAAATATTGGGGGTTATGATAAACTCCATGTTTTTTTCATAGTTGAACTAATGAGTCAATTGAAACTAGACCACCATCGAAAACCTGGAAGTATTGGACGGTCAACTCGTCCTATTATGGGACTCCTTAGTGGCAGTGGGCATCCACAATACCGCCCCGAAAGATTTGAACCCAGGACCTATCAGTCTTGCACCAGAGCACTTAACCAATAGACCACTGAGCCGGCCGTCATCCAATGGTGTTAATGTTTGACTTCAACCAATCCACGATGCTTGTTTGAGCAACCATTCAGCAATTGTCTTCAGTGAGTTGATATCTCTGCAAAAGACTTGTTTGAACTCCACTGGTCACTGCTTCCCACTAGAACTTCACGTTGTCAAGCGACCTATATGTGTCGTAGTCAGTAAACATGGTTTTGTTTTCATTGACTTAGTCACCCATTTGTAGATAGTTTGGAATCATTTCCATCATTACTTCTATTATTATATTAATTAGATGTATGACTGACTACCATACACTTGATGCATCTGTAGAATGATAGAATGGTAATTTTATCATAGAAAACTTTAGATTTTCATGTTAGCAAGCAAAATAAAAAACGACTGATGACGAAACATGCCCTCTATCATTGACAACGAGAGTGCAAATAATACTCCTCACTTTATTTTGGTTGATTGCCAATTGTAAAGTCAAAATGTACTAACGACAGTAGAGTTTATCCTCATACAAACAGACAGAGAATACTGGTAAGTGGACTATGCTCCTCCATGAAGGGTAACAGGTGTAAGTTGGTCAGTCAGTTAGTAAGTAAGTAATTAATTAGACTGTTGTCAACGAAATCATTTTTAAATTTTTTTAGATAATCTCTCACCTCTACCCCCCTCACCTATTCTATCCAATTTGTTTATAAAATACAAATGACCATATTTTACATGAACATATAAACAAAACAAAACAAAGCGCATTGACTAATTCCCTTTTCATTCCATGGGTATTTACCCCCATTGAATTTACCTACATCGTTTAAATTTAACCAAATCTTCTTTTTTTCAACATCTGTCTATGCTTTTTTTTAGATTTTACATCAAACATTGATTGCATGAATGCATTTTATTATTATTACTACTACTACTACTAATACTACTACTACTACGACTACGACTACTACCACTACTACTACGACTACGACTACTACCACTACTACTACGACTACGACTACTACCACTACT